TTTGGCTAGACTCGATTTTCCCTGTAGTTTTAGAAGCTTGGTTTTCTATCAGGTTTTTATATTCCATATACTATATCGTTTTAAACTAATGTTTCCGATGTTTTATAGAGCTTTTTCTTTCCTTCTTTACTGATTTTGGAACCAGCCTTAATTAGAACAAAACAAGTAGCCAATTGTATTTCTGGTTATGAGAAGCTGGATCTATAATTCTGGCCCTCATATGTGGCCTTATGGTAATTGTATCCAAACCATAACTAATTTATCTGCATTAACTATGTCTGATTTCTGTATATCTCATAGCATCAACCAGGTTATTGATCCTTTTCTCCGATTTTTTTTCTCCAGATGCACTTTAGCATTTCCACGTGAACTGCTACGAAAAAATTACGAACGCGATCTGGGGGCACCTTTGAGAATATATCTTTGATTTGATTCCCATGATAGTTTATTAGGGTCAGCTAATGCTATAGGTGGAAATTTTATTGTGATAGAATTCATCTAAACGACTCTATGTAACATTAATTTAATGTCTTACCAAATGCCTTAAAAATTTAACCCAACCTTTTTAGATCGGTTATCAAGCTGTTGGTTCGGATAGTAGATCTTCCAATTTGATCGTTTGGCTTGACCTGGAACCACTGTGCGCAAAAGCCACTGGATTGATTAGAGCATTCTAACTTTTAGCTCAAGACAAGACAAAAGGAAATAAATTGTTAATGGCAAAATTCATTGTGACACTACTGGTTAATTTATTCTGCACTTCGATTCGCTTCTTTATTTGCTTTTTCGCTACAGGTACTATGAATTGGAATTGCTAACTGGTGGATTTGTTCGTGTTGGTTGGGCCAAAGTCAGTCTTCCCGCGGATGCTGTACTTGGCATCCATCCCTCCTCCTACGCGTTTGAAGCGCACACGGTACGTGTAAACCCATTGTTCCATATCCATGCCTCACCCAGGCCCACACCACAACTTTCATTTGTCTTATAGATTCACTGGTCAGGTTAACCCTTACAAACGGATGAATAATATGTTCTGGCCAAACAAGAGCTAAACAGCTATATGGACAGAAGCTGAGTTTCGCAGAATCTCTTAGTAGATTAATACTGGCATAGCTTTTATCTCGTTTGGGAAGGCGGATGGAAGGGATTCGTATATTGGCCTTATCGGATATCAAAGGAAGGTTGCTTTGGACTTTATCTGTTGAATTGTGCGAAGAAGACCTCGTCCTCCGACTCCTCCCACTCCGTGCTGAGCATTCGTCCGTCGTGTGACAAGCATCGTTAGAGCCATAAACCATAATTCACGAACATTCAACAGAAAACATTAAGCTGAGAAAGGTGGCCGACTGAGATGCCATTTATTTATTACACCCCACATTGCGATCCTACTGAGGCATTTCATTATTTGGTTGGCTGTTTTATGCTTGTTTTTAGTTTATAAGTAGGGTTTCAGGACTACCAGTAAGTCGCTCATATGATATTTATAATATATCGCATATAACGAATTTACGAATCCCTTCCATCCGCATTCTCAAACGAAAGCTATGCCAGTACCAAGCGGACATCTTATTTTCCTCGGTTTACATTGTTTTATCGCACATGCTAGTGATGGCGATGACTGTGCACATTTTTTATTTTAAAGTATGTCTTCACATTTTGCCCCTCTTATTGTCGTTTGAAGTAGACGAACTTTTGTGATCCTGTCGCATAAAAGGATTATAAGTGGCTTTCTAATTTATTTTCTCCAAATAGATTGGTGAGATTTAGTTCAAGACATCCTTCTTTGCCTCATCATAGCCTCTTTGCGATGCAGTTTGTGGTAAACCAGTGCATTCTGGTGAAATCAAGAAGTCCGCAACACGGTAAACCTGCCTATATTTGATTGTTAATGGCTTTTTTGGATCTTGACTGTCCAGATTACACGCCTGTTATGTTCTGACTTAGATTAGAGGGATGGAAGACGAAAGAAGGCTTCATAGATTCGCGAGGTCTACATAACTATACGGTATTAATGTACATGC